TACCACGATCTTTTCTTACCCGCCTCTCAACGTTTTAAAAGTGGGAAGTTTTCTCAAGGTTTACTCTTCATGCAAACGGTATACGCAGTTTTCAATTTCTATTTTGACCATAACAAGTGAAGAACAAGTCAACAATAACAACAACATAGATAATTATATAATTAAATCTAATCATAATTTTATATGAATAAATTATTATTAAAATGAATAAATTATTATTAATATTAATAAGTACAGCGGCTATCGATCTTGTGAGCTGAATTGACGATAAGAAATGTAACTCGCATCTACAATCGTTTTAATTTTCTCTTCAGTGGAAGACTACAAGGATAAGCTCTGTCTAAATCTGTCTAAATCTCGATCTCTAAGTGTTTGGATGTCCGGCTCTCAATTATTTTTTGTCTTCTAATCTACGAATCATATAAAAACTTTCACTTCGCCACATGGAGGATTTAAGAAGTTCGATAGACAGGTAATAGACTTAGGTAGAGAAAGATTCCAATAAAGCATTCTCTTCAAAGTTCTCATTTTGCTGCGCAGAAGCCTTTGTTCCGACAACAGAGGAACCGGAAGAAACAAAGACAATTGGTACCTATACTAATTATTTATCATCAGCATTATAATAATAATAATAATAATAATTATTATTATTATTATTATTATTATTTTATTTGATATGATAACCGACTCTTAGATATTTCGTCCTGGTGATGAAGATGATCCTATTTCAGATCCTATGTGCAGCATAGAGGCACAACATTTTCCTCAGCACATGAGCAATTCCAATGATGTCAGGTAACACCAATGTGTCCTACCTAAGAGAAAGACTCCTGGAGATAGTCCTGAGTGCGCCAACCACAAAAAGGGATAACTTCAGCTACTTCGTCCTTCATTTGTAGCGATGCCCGGAAAATCGGTTGGACACCAATTTTATGGAAGAAAAAGTGTGTGAAAAGAGAAGAAAAGAAATACTCATCAAAAACAGCTCAGAAAATTTAAATAATTTTATTATTGAGTTTAAAAATAATCTTTGCTTACTAAAAGAAACAAGTTAGAAAGTTCCTCAAAAACAAAGTTCATACGAAAAATATTTTGTATTTTCTACAACACAAAAGGAAATGTATTGTGTTAGTATATGACGAAAAGTATGTGTGAAATTAGCACGGGAAAATCCAAAATTTATGGTACAGGGTGCGATGGATAATCATCTAAATTACTCAAAGATAAAAATACCACTGACATTTCATTTTAACAGATATATTTACAAAAATTAAACCAAAATATCTCGAAATACTAAAGAGTATATTTATTCAATAAAATCGCCATCGGCTTCAACCACGGCCTCCAGATGACTTCGGAATCTACTGCAACTCTTAAGGGCGGTATCCTTGTTTAAGTTGGTGAATACTGCCATAATCCTTGCCTTCAGTTGATCTTTGATGTTATAAGGAGTTTTGTTGGTCTCTTGCACAACTACGCCCACACATATTAATCAAGTGGGGCTGAAGTCTGGGGAGTTATGTGGCCATTGTAAGTGGGGATGTGGTCGCTGAAAATGTCTGACAGCCATGACTGGGGTTCCCTGCTTGTGTGGCAATGGGCAGAGTTCTGTTGCTAGACATAGGCTCTTCCAGCATCCACCCTCTTGACACAGTGCAGCACTAACTCCTCAAAGTACTTGATGTAGAGTTGAGTCTGAGGCCCTCATCAACAAATTCAGGAGTTTTTTTCTTATCAGAATGATTAGAGTGAGTTTTCTGAGCTGCCATACCTTTGTAATCACTATTAGACTCATCTAACTCTTTCTGAATGCTCTTCACTGTCCTCAGATTGACACCCAAACACTCTGAAATGTTCATATTGGAGCTTTCGGCATGAATGCCAAGCAGTACAGCATGACCTTTCCAAATTTCTGGTGGTGTAAATTGCGTCATGGTGATCTTTTTCTCACAGACGCTGCCCAACTGACCCTCCTATACCGTGCAGTCGACAAACTCAAGAACAAATAACGCACGAAATTAAAAATATAAAATGGTGACAATTTTCCCATCACACCTTGTATATTATGCATGTGTGTATAGCGTTAACTTATCTGCATGCTTCCAGCCGATTAATATCAGTACGGATACAGTTTTGACGACTACACTTTCCTTGTGTTTCGCTTGGGTATTTTCGTAATATGAACTGTGCAAACTAGTTTATCAAAATACTTTAAATGCGATGAATAATTTACAAGAAGGAACTTTAATACTCAGTAAGTTAATTAGACTATGCAAAAATTTGAGTAATCAGTTTTATTTACATCTCGGTTGATGACAGATTGTAAAAATAATTGAACTGATATGTCAATAAGAAAGCATATCATCTTTTATTATTTTCGATCGACTGCTGAACAGTGAGGACTGACAACTGGTAAACTCCGAATTCTTTTCTTCTTGCCCCCCCCCGCCACTTTGTGTTTTATTTTCTGTGTTTTATCTTCTTTTATTAATAACGTATCTCCTATATGCAATTATTAAATTTGGTACCCCAAGCAAGATTTTCAGACATAATTTTTATCCGTTGGCATTATCATATCTTTGAGAAGGCATGCTTTCTTTTAGTCATTATGTCTGGTCTATTAGCTTTTCTATATTTGTAAGTATGAATGGTAACGTCTTAAAGAATGCTAACTTCATAGTTTATTCGACAGATTGAGAGTGATGTAATTTACCATTTTGCAGCATGTGATATACTTGTAGATACACTGAAATATCTTCCAATTAATATATTGCCCAATTTTATCCTTTTCAAATTTTGTATTCCTTCAGTATCAGGATTAGTGGCCAGCAGCGTGAATATGTTTTTCATCTTATTATTAAAGTTTTCTTTTTCTTCCATAAAGAGACATGTTTCAAAAATCAACTAAATTCTACACTGGGGAACGAAAATGAAGGAAAATCTGGAAGCTTAAACCAAAACTTCCTAGAGACCTATAAAGACAAGACCCTGCAAACCCTTGGACCAAAGATTCCACCGACTTCAGTCAGTCATACTGTCGCAAAATGCAAGATGCCTTCAAAGATGCAAAATGCAAGATGCCTTCAAAGTAGCGACAGACATCTACAGCCTCGAAGATACTTACAGATCCCGAAACTTTAGCCACATCGACGTTCTGTAATGAATAGAAAGATTGTCTTGTTAGATCAATTACCACTGAGTATTGAGTTCGATTCTCACTGTGTGCTCCATATTTTCGGCCTTGTGTGGCTACGCTTAGCAAATAGCTAAAATCTTAAAACTTTACTTCCATCGTCTCAGCTCGTTCCTGTCGGCAAACTAAGCTCGATTTTACAAATTCACAAGTACAGAGAGCCATTGCACGTGTCTTCTTCAGTCGATGTGTGGAGTGCCTACAGCAGACATCGAAAACTTTTCAAATTATTCATTTGTGAGCCAAACAATGGCAAAGCTGAAAAATCTTGCCTGCTGAAGCCCAGCTAGGCAGTTGTGTGATGTTTTATATTGAGTTTATTACTAATATTAATTGGCAATATTCATTTTATTTTTCTCGCCACAACGCTCCCTCTCTTTCTGTCCAGTTGTTATTCTGAATCTGTATTATTTCAAAATTGTTAAACACTTTAATTTGGTCAATGATGTCGGTAACGGATTCGAGCCAAAGTCATTAATGGCAGCCAGATTATTAAGGGAAACATAGTAAATGATAAGAAGCATTGCTGAACAGAAGCTGGAGAATTATGATCAGTTTCCTCTCCGTTATTTTAGTCAGACACACTTGTTTCTTTGTCACTGAGAGAAGAAAAAAAAAAGAAACGAACTTCGGAAGCGACTGGTGGAGGTGAGTAGGAGGGCTTGAGGAAAAAAAGCGGTTCTTTCATAATTGTAATCAATATTAAAGAAATGTCTAATTATTGATGGAAAAGGTACCTTATGCAAAACGTCCATATTGGATTGAATCATAAAGATGATGAAATGCTGTTCACGAATGCGAATAAATAAATTTCTCGTTTTATTAGATTATAAAAGCTTTGAATGGTGCTTAAGAAAATAATAAATACTTGGACATTGTAATAAATTCGTTGATTTTTAAAAAACAGTTGAGTTGATATATTTAATTCTTTATATGTACTTTTATCTTCGTTATTATTTCTTTTATTATAAATATTTCTTTTCCTCTTCTACTTTACCTTCTCCCACTACTTCTTCTTTTCCTTCTTCTTCTTCTTCTTTTCGTCCTCCTCCTCTTCCTCTTCATCCTAATCTTTCTTCTTCTTCTTCTTCATTACTTTTTCTTGATCTTATTATTATTATTATTATTTTACTTCTTATTGTCATTCTTATTATTATTCTTATTATTCTTCTTTTCCCCCTCCTTCTTCTTCTTCTTTCCCCCCTTTTGCTTCTTTTCTTTCTTCTTCTTTTCCTTCTTCTCCTCTTTTCTTCACTTTCTTTTCCTCCTTCTTTTGCTTCTTTTTTCCGCCTCCTCCTCTTCCTCCTAATCATTCTTCTTCTTCTTCTTCTTCTTCTTCTTCTTCTTCTTCTTCTTTTACTTCTTATGGTCATTTTTATTATTATTCTTTTCCTCTTCTTTCTTCTTCTTTTCCTCCTTTTGCTTCTTATTTTCTTCTTTTCCTTCTTCGTCTTCTGATACTTCTTCTTTTTTTTCCTTCTCTTTTCTTCCTCTGTTTCTTTCCCACTTTTTCTTTGCCTACTTCTTCTTCTTTGCTTTCTTTATTCTTTGCCTTCTTCTTTTCCTTTGTATCCTTCTTTGCCTTTTTTCTTCTTCTTTGCCTTATTATTTTCCTTCTTTTTCTTATTCTCCTCCACCTCCTCCCCCTCCTCCACCTACTTCCTTTCCTTCTTTTTCTTTATTTTCTGCTTTTTCTTCATCATCTTCTTTGCCTTCTTCTTCTTATTTTCTTTCTTCTTTTCCTTCTTTTATTCTTCTTTTTTTCTTCTTTTCTCATTTTTCTTTTTCTTCTTCTTAGCTTACTGACATATCAAGTTGAAACACCGGTCCATGTACGATCACCGAAGTTAAGCAACGTCGTGTTTTGCCAGTACCTAGATGGGTGACCACTTGGGAATACCAAGTGATGTCCGCTTCGATGGTGTGACTTATGGACATATCAAGTTGAAACACCATCACTCGTCCGCTTACCGAAATTAAACAACGTCGAATCTGGCCAGCTTGGGAATACTAGGTTTTGTAAAGCAGGATGTGCAGGTGGTGTAATGGATAACGGCTCGGAATGTTTCGCCTGATTTCGTTATATTCCCTTAAGCGCAAATGATTTCACCTCTTCTTTGTAGGACTTGTATCAGTAAAACGATTATTATCTCCAAAACAAGGCCATTATTATGATTATCCTTTGTCTTAGGCTAATGGATGACGGAATAGGATTTGGGAGAAGTAGCAAAAGGACAACATATATTGAGAGCTACAAAGGATAGCGGGGAGTGGAGCGCCATGATCGCCTACGTTCTGAAGGGACACGTCACATAAAAGATGTTATGATTCCTGCTTTGTATCCTGTAGAGTCGGGTCTAAACTATGGTCCTTCCATCCTATAGGAGAATTGTCATTTAACTGACCGCATTTTTTTTAGTAGGGCGATCTTCTGGGCAATTTGTATGTTAATGTTACCTGTGACACTGTCAGTAAAACTGTCCATTCCTTTTCTCACGAGGCCCAGTACTCCGATTACTATTGGTACAGTCTCAGTCTTCATTCCCCACATCCTGTTAATTTTGATCTCCAGGTCCTTGTATTTGGATAATTTATCGATAATTTTCATGGAGCTCTTTCTCTTAGATGGTACTGCTATGTCAATAAACATACACATCCAGAATTTCTTGTCTTTTATGATAATATCAGGTCTACTGACTTTTATTTCGATGTCAGTTTGAATTAGCATGTCACAGAGGATAGTTACATCATTATTTTGGATAACGATGTCTGGTCGGTGATCATACCATCTCTCAGTGGTTTCGATTTTGTGCTTCTTGTATATCTTCCAGTGCATATATGTCGCTACCTTGTTATGTATGTTGGTATATTCATTTTTTGCTAGTTCCGGACATCCTGAGATAATATGGTCGATAGTCTCATCATATTTTCCGAAGATCCTGCATTTCGTGTTAGTTCCATATGTGACCGTGATAGGATCTAGTTGCGAGGCTTTGGTCCTGAGCTGCAATAATTAGGCATTCTGTGCCAGTTTTCAACCCGGTGTCCCTCAGCCATTGATGTCTTTTCTGTTGGTCCACATCTGCATCTTTCGTTCTTTTTATGTATTTACCATGCAACGCATTGTTCTCCCAGTTTTGTTGTAATTTCATTTGGCCAAGTTGTTTTTTTTTTGTTTTACTCTTTTGACGTAGATGGTATTCACTTCGTTTTTTGTTGGTACGATTTCAGGTATATTAAGTTGTTTCTTGAACAGTGAAATTTCTTTGTTGATGTAGCGGAATTGGTATTTTACTATTTGTAGACGAGGGTCATTGGTTTTTGTGAGGTATGCTTCCAAACCTCTTGCTATAGTTATTAAAGTTGAATTAGAACTCAGCCTCCTGAAGCTCTTGGTACGTACAGCCTATCAACATCTGATTTTCGATGATGCATCCTCATTTAGGTAAGCATTTTTCTGGTCTTGGTTTCCAATTTTTTAATGTCATTCAACGTCCATCTAATAATGTTGAAGCTATATGTTACTACGCGTAGAGCTAAGGTATTGTTAGCCTTCATTTTATTGGCCCCCATTAAGTTCGTTTTCTAGTATCAAACGCATTCTCCCATGGTATACTTTTCGGATTTTTTCTTCATAATTTAATGTTCTATTCTATTTCCTTCATTAATTCCTAAATATTCATTATTATTATTATTATTATTATTATTATTATTATTATTATTTCCTTCGAATTCTGTTGTCTACACATTTCCTTCCGGGTCCCAACCAGAGATCTAAGGTCAAAAATGTCTTCATGACATTTTCCAATTTCATTTCAACTGATCAAAAAAAAAAACAAACACCACAAACCTTTCATAATGTGTGTGATGTACTTGTGAGTCCAATTTTTAAACATTTCTGTAAGACATTCGCGATCAGGTATCCCTTCAATGAGTCTATCGGAACGTCTATCCGATCGTTCCGAGGGCTCCAACTATTATTATTATTATTATTAAAACAAAAAATCAAATGATCTTTGCTTAGTCTAGGTCAATGTGAGGTATATCTATTGAGAATTAAACTCAGAACTGAATATTCAATGAGATTATTATCGCTTGCCTTACGGTAGGTGCCGTCTACTACAGGCTTAATAATGTAGTAGGGTTGAAGACATCAATGAAATGCTAATCTAGATGAGATTTAACTCGCTAAGATTTTCTTGTAATACGACGTTGGTGGAACCGGTTTCAGGCCGCGTGTCTCAGAAATGTGGTACACTTGCCAAAATGGTGTAATTTGCAAAATTGTTAGGATTATAAATATTTCTTCAAAGTGATGGAATGAGTTGATCTCAACTGAGCATCAAGTTACAGAAAATTCCTTAAAATCTTTTCTTTCGAATTAATGTGAAGACTTTTGTAAAGCCTGGTAATTCTTTCACAGATATCTAAATGCACCAGAATTGTCACTATAGATTTGAAGGTCGTATCTTCGTGATCAAAAATAATAACTGATAAATTATTTTTACCATTTTCAAGCGAAACCTCGAAATCTATCTAATGTCACCTTTTAAATTTAGCTTATGAGTTCCCTGTAATGTTCCTGATATTATTAAAGAGTCTATTTGTTATTACCTTCAATAAATAGTTTAGTCACCTGGCATGATTTATATGTATTTCAAACGTATGCTTGATACACTTAAAATCACTGAAGTTAAGCAACGTTGAGATTGGTCAGCACCTAGATGGGTGGCCGCTTGCTAATACCAGGTGTGGTAAGCTTGGATGTGCAGGTGGTGTAATGGATTACGACTCGGAATTGGAAATCAGAAAGCCGAGTTCCAATTCCAGTCGCATTCGTTATAATCACTTACGCG